CCTTTCCATGCAGGCGCTATACAGCCGCACAAAGTGGGTCATCTTGTAACACAAACTTTTCAGACCATTTTGAGCACAGCTGAGACAATTAATTGCTCAGTTGATTGACAGGAAGTAAATGTGACACTGATAATTGTTTTAGAAAATATTTTAGCAGAAATGACTTCAGGTTGACTAAATCTGTTGTCTCAAATGTGAACGTTTGGTTACAGTGAACAGAATATTTGGGAATTTTACACACGACATTGAAAGTCATTGCCTTGGTCAGCTATTTTATTTTACTATTCTCTGGCCTCTTGTACACCAAACAAATTATTGGTTGAAGAAAATAGTGAGTGAGTCCTTTAAGGGTAGGGTTTTATAAGCACCATTAAAAACAGCATATTTCTGTCAACAGTAGAGTAAAATTGATGTTTTTTGGACTTCAAATTTGAGCAATGACACAGACGTAGAGAGTGGATTTAGCTTCTGTTTGATGCTGTTTACTTTCAGATAGTGAGTTGCGCAAATACACACACAGCTGTGACAAATGAAAGAAAAAAAACAGTATATAGTGTGTCAGTAAGGTGTTGGGCTTCATTGCTAATTGAAGACATTATAGGATGGAACAAATGTTTGTTTTGCATCACAGTTTTTTTTTTGTTGGGTTTAGATGAAGTTTCTAGATATGCGTAAGTGAAACAGGTTTTACTGTAAACTGCAACACATTTAGGGTTTCAGTTCCGTTCAAGGCTGCCGTTTATACAGCGCGTCTGTTTTATTGGTACAATACAGTCCTGAGGTTGAACTACAGCGAGAGATTTCTTTCACACCAGGGCCACTCGTGCTAAAAATGAAAGAACATCAACGTTTACATAATATTCACAGCAAAGTACAATATGCTTCAGTTCCATCCTCTGCAGCATTGCAAATTACATAGGAACTTGGCAATTTTCCAGTGGAAGAGATCGCGAAAGAGTGCTCAGACTGAGGAAGCAAATCAAAAGCTAATGTGTGAGATAAGGGTTATGTCTTCCTTGATGGATGCTAGATTTGATGTACAAGTTTAATATTCATATTAAAACATTTGCTTCATTGTTGAAAATTACTCTTACTGATGTACTACAATAAACATTTGTTCAAGTTATTAAACAAATTAGACTGTTTTGGATCAGTGTTAAATATAGTTATTTACATGAAATCTGTTCCAGCAATGAGAAAGTGGTATTTGTGCTTCTCAGTGTTTGTTTTTCGAGTGTTAAAAGTCACTGCTATGGTAGGTCATAGAAATAGCCCACAGCAGTCATATATGGCATTTTAAATGTCAATTAAATGCAAAACCCCAGAGTAACCCAAGAAGAATGTGCCTCATTATAACGAGCAAAAATAAGATCTTGAAGGCTTTAAGGTTTCATATCGACACGACAGCATACATGCTCTGTAGATTTAAATAACAACGGCTGTGTGTGTGTGTGTGTGTGTGTGTGTGTAGGTGTGCGTGTGTATATATAATTGATTAGCTTAACGGAAACTGACACACTGGGCAGCAACAGCCCTGTGTGCTTTGTCATTTAAGGGGCGTGTGTTTGTGTGCGTCTGTGCTTTTTTATCCCTGCTCTGTCATTAAAGGAGATGAAGGGAGGAAGTTTGTCCAAGTCGGTTCGTCTGCGCTGTAGGTGTGTGTCTGTGTGTTAGTTAGAAGAAAGGAAGCGCTGATTTCAACATGCATATACAACACGTGTCCATTTTAAGAGCGTGTATGATGCAGTTAAGGCCTGTCTCTTAGCTACAATTTTCCATATACGATGTGCATTGTTAATGGATGCCTGTGATAGATGCTAGTTAATGAGCTGCGGTTTCATTTGAACTCTTTCACCCACCTTGTGCATAATTCACTTTGCCCCATTGTGCATCATTGTTGCCATCAAATAACAATGAAACAAACAAAACAAACAAAAAAAAACAATATTGGTTTATGTTTTGTACGTGTTGCTATGTTGCAAAAGCCTCAAACACACTCAGACCTAAATGACTGCTGACTGTTAGCAATAAAAAAATTCTCTGATTTGATTGTAAGAAAATGCAACATTGCTGATTTTAATTCAAAGAAGATGTGGTTCCTTCAAAAAAAAAAAAATCCTATCTCACATTCTTCCCTGCATTTCTAGAAATCTTATTTTAGTGGTTTTTGGTTTTTTTTAAAGGAAGTCCTCATTTACACTCACTGACATTTACATGGGCATTTTTGTATTTGTGCATATAAACATCATGATCTCAGTAACCTGGATAAGGCCTTCACTTAATTCAGTTAGGTTTTGATAAACTTGGGATACTGCATCTCATTCTGGTTTCTGACAGTAGTTAAAGTGGAAGACATGTTTGATATTTTCTGTCGCTCTCATCCCCCATTGCTGGCAATAGCGTGTATAAGACAAATCCAGGGCTCCAGACTGCTGTTAGAATGCATGAAAAATCAATTCAGCTGTTGCGTGTTTCAATAATGAAGGGATCTATACGTGAATATTTTAAAACAAAATGAAGAGAGAGAGAGAGGAGGCTGGTGGAGCAGGAGAGGTCCCACGAAAACATACCTGGTGTTGAGAGTGCAGGTTTGAGGAAGGCACTGACTGAGCCAGTGAAGAACAAAAAGCACTACATTCAATTTCAGTGACTAACGTAGCACTAGAGCTGTAATATGACGCCATTTTTTGGGGGTCAATCATGATTTTGGCTTCCCAAATTAAATGAACAAGATCGACAGCAGTATTGACATTTACAATAAAAAACTCTGCCCATAGAAAACAGCCCATACAGACAAAATTACTCAGTTTCAACTTGAGTAAGTCGGACACTAAAACGTGATTTTCACTCTTTTCCAACTAATTCATGGTCTCACACTTGTCTGAGTGCGCTGCGGTTGAATAATGCTATGCTGAACCAAAAGTGGGATGGTGCAACCCAATTTGCTAGCAGTTAAAGTTAGTCCGAAGTTCTGGAATCTGAAACACGATGTTGGCATTCAATTGTGCTAAACCCGCTATAAGCCAAAGTGTCAAATGAAAGTAAGGTTAGGTTAATATTTACAGAAATGTCAGATCATATTGTCAGTTTGTGTTGCAAACATCACAGACACCTGCACAAACAGCATCAGTAACCGGAAACTTGTATTTATCATGTATACAGAGATATGATTAACTAGATGTCACTGTGTGCCTTGTAAATGATCCTGAACATGATGAAAACTGGAATACTGGTGTGCATGTAAATACAATCACTGAGGCTTTTAATTGAAGTCTGAAGATTTACTCGATGCTATAAGTTGGTCTGCTTAGACATTTGAACAGTTGGTTTGGTTAGAAGAAAAGTTGCTAATGCTTACAGTATTTTGGGCCAAACTGAAGCTGGACCAGGTATCACTTTTCACATGCTCTTGCTTCCTCTGCTCCATCCCACTGCCCCCTGGGAGATATGGCCTCAGCCTCACATTGAGCCAGAAAATATCCTTTGTTATTTAAAGTTTTCTCTCATTCCAGTACAGAAAAATAGCTGCTACACTGCTTCTGAGTGTGACTATTTTCTGTTGTACTTGAGCAGGTGTTGTTCTCATGCACAGGTTAGAAATTAAGCTGTTGTGACTTTTATGGTACACACTGCGGGGCAATAAAATGCTGTTCTGCTAGGAGGAAACCTGTATAATGTGCATGTGTGTGTGTTTTTTTTTAAAACATCTGTGAAGCAAACTGTCGAGCTGAGGTACCTCGATGTATGGACTTAGCTCAGGCATTAATATTACTGAACGCCAGTGCACCAGTATCACGTCAGATAAAGACAGAATATGAATGCAAATCATCTAATTATACATTTAAAACTCAGCTTATGTTTTTATTTTCATACACAGTAACTTCCCCCTTTTGTCACTTGACAATCCACAAGTGTTTCATAGCGAAATGAGAGCAACACTGCTTTCACGCAAAGTAGCAGAGAGTCTCTGGCCTCACATAAATCTGTTGCTCTGTCATGTGCATTTATCCGGCTACACATGAAGACATTTTCAATTTCCTGTTGCACAGTTTGCTTCTCGAGTACAAACTACCTTTTCTTGTCTTTTTTCGACACCGTATGATTGGTGAAATTGTTTTAATACAGCAATCACACCCAAAGTGTGTCACTCGAAGCGATATCTTCGCTCCATTATTGAAAACAACAGCAACAACTCTGCGCATCTGTTTTTGTAGGAATTAAATGAGCTCAGTTGGCCCTCGCCTGGGTTTTGCTTCCTTTTTGCTGGCATTGAGCTTTTCTTAACATTCACTGCAACGCCAGTTCCCATTCACAAAATGTATAGCAACCTCCACCTTAGAGTCTGTATATCTGAGAATCCCATAAAGTAAACCTGTCCTGGATCTCTACAAATTTATGTTTGCTGGAAAACCTCCAAAAGGTCACAGCTGCAAAGCATCTGTACTAGTTTCTTTGAATCACCTCAACTGGCCGAGGCTTGATTCAGATATTCTCCTGAATTGCTGCCGTCGTGACTCATGTTACACCCATTTGAGAAACATTTTCTCCATGTTTAATGACTGTTAATGACTTTAGGTGAGGGTTTAGGTAAAGACTGTCAGGAAACTCAAAATTTTGCTTGATTACGACTGAAGGATTTAAACAGGACTGAATAAAGATCAGTGCAAGCAGCTATGTTGAAGAGGTTTGTTGTGAATTATGATCAAGGAGGTCCAGGTTGTCTGAAGGATCATTAGACATTTGAACATTGCAGAGTGGATTTCATATTGCAAGGATTTCTCTTTTTTTTTTTTAAATGTCAAGACAGTAACTGTTCCTCTCTCTTTAAATTTCCCTTGCAAAGTTCGCCACCTTTTGGAAAAAGAATACTGCTGCTACCCATTATTCGCTTTAGTGGCTGGTCATTCCCAGTCAGATTAGTTTTTTTCACGCCAGTTTGTGTTCGACATGAAAAGTTGATCTTGGCTTTGCAACTCAATCTCGTTTTCTCTGTCCAACAGCAAATGGTGATGAGCCTGCGGGTGTCGGAGCTGCAGGTGCTGCTGGGCTACGCTGGACGCAACAAGCACGGACGCAAGCACGAGCTGCTGACCAAGGCGTTGCATCTGCTGAAAGCCGGCTGCAGCCCCGCCGTGCACATGAAGATCAAAGAGCTCTACCGACGACGCTTCCCTGCCAAAATGGTGTCCCACTCAGAGCTGGCCCTGCCTGGACCGCACCACCCGGCCACAGCTGGAGTGGTTGGAGGAGGGGGCGCGGCGCTGCCTGCAGGCCTGACACAGCTGGCGTACGAGGGTCACGCCGGTCACGGTGGAACCCCGTCGCCCGCCGCCTTACTGCCCCTCTCACTGCTCGGCCCTGGGAAACATGAGCTGACCGGCCTGACGCACCACCTGCCCACTTCAGCCACGCTGCATCCGGTCCACCCAGATGTCAAGCTCCAGAGGCTGCCCTTCTACGACATGCTGGACGAACTCATCAAGCCGACCAGTTTAGGTGAGGAAGTGTGTGCAAGCGAGGCGTTTGTGTGAAAGCTAGCGGTACTGGATTTCAAACATTTCGCAATAATTTTTGTATCAGATGACATCATTAAAACGAAAGTAATGAATCTACAGAGAACAGTTAAACTATCTGGCCTGCAACTTTACTGTTGTGGTTCGGTGTTACCGCCATTATAGAACCAAATTGGCCCCAGCAGGCATCTGTTTGCAGCAAGAAAGCTCTATAAACACACTGTTGACTGCTTGCTCAGTATCAAACAGCAGACAAACCAAGTTAGCCCCTGTATAGTGAATGCACTGGAGTATTCAGCACCTAAAGAGCCTGATATTTTCCTGAGAGGTGGGTTGAGGCAAAAAACAGAGCTACAGAACAGTGAACATTGTGTGGGCAAATACTTTTTGTTGACTCTGTGTCTACTGGGTTTGTATATAAGCATCTCTTAGTTAACAAGTTTGCCACATCAGCTTGAAAGGTGATGATTATGTATGTAGAAGTTGTATTTACATCTTGTTTTCATCACTGTTCCCAAGTTGCCAGCAATATTCTTCGTGAGTAATAATTAATTCTGCCAAAAATAGTTTCGTTTTTTTGACAGAATTAAGTAGACTTATGTGGAGTATAATTAAATAGCTTTGATTCAGGACTTTCAGTTTTGGGCTCAGGTAGAGGGTGCACATGTGATGTCAATGTGTCAGATACATATTTACTTACCATTAAGTAAATGTGAGTATTGGATCTCACCTACTGGTTAAAACACAATATAGCTGCAATATCCATTCAGTTCTGGCCAGGGAATCGATTACATGTCCTATCCCCCTCTCTACATGTTTCCTTTCTGAATCTTTATCACAAATCATCTAATACATTTTAAAATGTCAGAAAAATTTTCTGCAACGTTGTTGATATCTATATCAGTATTATATTCCCATGATAATCCTGGGAGCAGGCGCTGAAAACATTGACATTTGTATTTCTTCTGTTGTATAAAAAGGCTCCCTGCCAGTGCCGGTGTTGTGCTGCCTGCTAATGTGTTGACAGGGCACAGAAAAGTTACTGCAGAAATATCATTTTTAGATTTCTCACGAGAGTTCAGAGTAAGGAGAGGCCCCAGTTGGTTCCCAGGAGGAGTTAGTGAAAATACTAATTGGGTACTTTATCCATCCTTTATCCAAAAAAAAAGTAATAGCTGAAGGCTTTGCGTTGCAGATTTTCTCTTGGAACCTCAAAGACCTTACCTACTGGTTTATACTTCCATATATGAATAAGAATGTCTGCATTTGGTCACATGTTTGAAACCAATGCATAAAGATGAATCATATAAATGGTCTTCTTTTTTGTGCATCTGAAGGTCATTTTAAGAGTGAGGTCCAGTCGCTGGAGTTTCAGTTGGCATTAGAGATGACTAATGGCTCTTATTTCATATTTATATTGTAGCATATGGACAGTAACAATATAAATATCCAATAAGATATTTATGTTGTTGTGCATAGGTTGCTGCTGTCTGAACCTGCTTCAGGTAGGCTGAGCGTTGCTGCCACATGATGAATATCTTTCTTGTACGTTTATATTTTTAGCCGTAGGGCCAATTTTACACCAGCGTGGAACCATTGGACATAAATGAATCACTGCATGTAGACTATAAACAACATATGTTAGCTGTCACTCTGTAGCACAACTGAGAAAACGGTTCTGCAGAAAACGGTTCTGCACTGGCTCTGCCTGGCAATGTCATGTCTCAACTTCTGAACAAAATTCAGCTTAGTTGCCATGACGCGATATAGAGCTGCAACGAGTCCTGAGCAATAAATTGCCCATGAATTATTTTCAATTGGATTTAATTGCTACTATTTTGCAGACCACCTGGTTCGGCAGAAATACGCAGTTCATACTCGAGCATTTTTCTACATAAAGTGATGACTATCTCATATGCGTAGTTTTTACTATCCAGCTACTGTTATTTTGCTGTAAGAAAAACTTAGAATTCTGAGAAACTAGTTATCTCTCTGTACCATTAAGTCTTCATGACTAAGTATGCAACAACTGATGATACACTTACAGGTGTCACAGTCATAAACATCTCCAATCTACTGCAGGACTGTGTGGGTGTGGTGAGTTCAGATATAATTTAAATTAGCACTGTACACTAACAGCCAATCAACTGTTACCAAATTATGATTCCGATATTGGAAAGTGCTGATGTGTTGGAGTGCCGGTGTACATCTTCAGACTCATAAGGGACACACAGACAAAGTAAGAATTAGAAATCTTTTGTGTAAAAATAACTAAAACGTTTCCAACTTGACAGAGACGTAATGATAGTTCACCATTTAGACTAAGAAGCCTTAAAAAATGTTTTTTCAGGGCTTTTAAGTGCAAATATCCAGTCTTCTCTTGTCTAACTTCATGAAGGCCTAGCGTTTAAGCATTACGTCCTGTCTGCACTTTAATTTACTACTTAACAGACTTTTAATCTTGGCTTTATCTTGGTTAGATTTGTCATTGCATTAGGTCTACATCCAGCACACAGCCTGCACTTAGCATAATAACACTCTTTGGGCTCTGGGATATATTGCAAATATATGGAAATGTCTAGATTTTCCTACATTAGCATTTTAATGGAGTAAGAGACCATCTCTTGATTAATTTGCCTGCAGATGCATGTACAAACACAGTGCCTGCAGCTCTGTCATCACGCCATCTTTCTCCTCTTCCCTCTCCCGGTCTCACTCTATCCATTTCCATCCCTCTCAGGCTCCTCTCTCCCTCTGTCTCCTTCCGTCTTCTGTCTCCGTGGCCATCCTCGGTCAAAATTTGCATGCAGAGTGATGAAATCACACAGGCGTACACCTGTGCCCGCAGAAACACACCCTCCCCTCATTTGAATCCGAGTCGCACGTTCACATCATTCTCTCACACATACAGTACACAGCGCACAGACGTACTTTCCAATAAATAATGCATGTTGATCGTATTGTTCTCAGAAAGGCACAGAGAGCGAAAAAGGATGAGTGATAGGAGGAAAAACCCCAAGGAGGATGTGGCACATCATTAGACGAAACTGAAGATTTGAATTTGCCTAAAAAACTGAAACTCGGCTGCAGCTTTGAGGTGATGACCCTCTTTGTCCTAATAATAATGGAAGGCAGAAATGAAACCACTTGATTAATTGTAATCCCCCCTCCCCCTCACTGCCATGCTGGGAGATTTTTTTTTCTTCTCTTTCTTTAAGGCTGCCAAACTCTTTTCACCCACTGATCACACTCTTTACATCTCTTCTCTGTTTGTGTACGTCTCTCTGATCTACTGACACTCTCTCCTTCTCCCTCGCTCTCCTCCATTGTTGTTGCGTCTCCTGTTGCCTTGCCTCCCAACCCTTTCTCTCACCCTCTCATTTTTTGACTCCCTTCCCCCCACTTGTTTGCTTGCTCTCCTTGTTTGCAAGATGTTTCATTTTATTTATTTTTTTGATGGAGAAAGCTGATTCTTGGCCATAAAGGTTGTTAACCAGAATTCAAACAAGAGCGCATGTGCCTGACAGACTTAAGGCAGTGCAGTGAATGGAAAGGATAAAAGAATATTACTTGGTTCGTCTTTACATCTAACGTTTAAAGATATAAGTCTGTTTTCACAAGTTTTTATGAAATTCTGAAACATTCGACATTTACTTTGGTCTGTAAGTAACCGAAAGCAATGTGGCATAAAAAACAACAGTGTACTGCAGTTTATAAATGTATAAAGCCGCAGAAGAATATGCCACACACCCAAAAATGTGTGACCCAAGCAGCTTGTTGGTTGCAGCCTCTTTACAAAACACAGTGTCTTTAAATTTTCTCTCTTCTAGATTTTCTAAATCTAAATTTGGGCTGCAAGTACAAAGTATTTTCATTCTTAATTACTACGTGGTTATTTTATTTGGTGTGTAAAATGTCATAAAATAATCAAAAATGCCAATCTGTGTTTCCCAAAGCCAGAGGTGACATCCTTAAATGCTATTCACAATCCAAAGATGAGCTGGAATCAAAAGTATTTGGACTTTTTTTGTACTTATCAAAAATAGTTAGTGATTAGTTGATTATTTTGCAACAATTTTGGTAATTGATACATGTTTTTTTTTTCAGGAAAAATGTCACCCATTCTTAAATAATGCTGTTATTTGTCCTATATTATAGTAAATTCAATTTATTTAAGATTTGAAAACAGAAGATGTCTGATGATGTTTCCTTAGGCTCCAGACAATTCAGTTTTGGACTTTTCTCGGGTTTCTGCAGTTTTCCAAGCTAAAAATGTATTTATTAGTCATAAAAAACTGCTTCTAGTTGCAGTTCTGAATCCTTTTAAAACATTTCTTTAAGCTTAAAAAGTACCCTACTCATTCAGTTTTGCAACTGTTCCATAAATTTGTCCCTTAAATTAAACTATATTCATATTCCTCTCATGATGGTTTCCCATAGATTTTAACAGCATTTGGATGCTGTAAGGCAGTCGTTCATTTTTGACCTCATACATGATGTCTACTATTTTAAGAGTTACCACGTCCCTATGTTTTTGAGCCTTTAATTTAATAAGCAGTGGGTTTGTTGGTTTTTGATAAGTGGATTTGCCCGGAATCCTCTCGGCTCTATTTTGAAGTATAAAACTAAATTTGTGTTATATGCATTTCCCACATACATCACATCACACAGTAGGTATTGTATAGATGTACAATATAACAATAAAAATAACATGATTTCAGGAACCTTTTATATGCATTGTAAGATGAAAACTGTGCCCTCACTACAGAGTGAGTCCTCTGACTGCAACATCAGTCCAAATGCTTAAGAATTCTTCAAGCTGCAGCAGAGGAAATCACTGATAAGATTAAAATATGACAGCTCTACTCCACACATATGGGAGAGGAATTGGAGAGAAATATGGTTACTGATCAGCTGCATGTACATTCAGATTTACAGTAACGGAGGAAATGTGGAGCATGTGAACGTGTTCTCCCATTTCCT